AAATGCCGAAATTAAAGGTAACTCAAAAGAACATTTAATTAAATAATATTAGCATTTTGTGAGGTTTCAAACTTAAAGACTTAATTAAAATTGATATTGATGAGGAGTAATTTGGCACAACCTAGTAAATAAAAGTCACGTGGACACGATTTGTATGTAGGATGATAACTCAGCAAGGGGAACCTAGTCAATGGTATGCGGAGCTAGGCGTAAAGTCACTTTGGCATAAGACCACCTCGGCGTAACACCACCTCAGCGGCTAATTGAGTTCGGGGCCTAGGAATCTAAGTGACACGTAATAAATCCCAATAGCTTCCCAGTAGACTTCGAATATTGTGAGATCATACCGCATAACGGCAAGCCTTATCTTCTCCCTATCCGAATCGGGCGACGATAATGAAGTTCATTTGACTGATATGTTACTCCCCGACTAAAGCGAAAACGAATCTTGTCCATTCAGGCCACAGATCTCGAAACTGTTCTGGGAAACCCTCAATAACTCAGCTATGTAAAGGCATCAACCCCTCCATGGTCCAGGTACGCATGATTACTTGCATCCAAGTTCTCTAGCACTCAGATTCTAACTCGCAATCACGATACAGTACTGACTTAAGCATCAGAGCGACCTCGCTGGGTTAACCGCCCTGGGTGCTCTAATCCTCTATCTTGCAGTTTGGTCCAGTTCGCTACACGACTAAGGTCCAGATCATACTCCAGCTAGGAGCTTTCATATCGCGCATCGTCAGATATTAATGAGAGAGAGAAGAGATGAATTAAATTTAAATTTTAAAATGAGAGGGAAATTAAATTCGGCCGATACATAAGATCAATTATCGTTATTGTTTAGAAAATTAATAGAAAGAGGTTACACAAGATGGAGAGTAGCATGTCCCAAGCATTACAAAAACAAATAAAGCCAAGATATCAAGATTCAAAGTATCAGAAATGCCAAGTGTATCGGAAAGGAAATTTTAAGAGATGTATAGGGATGCGCCTTTGATACGCATGTGTATCGGAGAAAAACTAAGATACACATAGATACGCTTGGAAACACTATAAATACTTTAATATATCATAAAAATACATCCACAACACTAAATATAAGACCTCAATGAGGTGTATATACATTAAATTAATATATTTTAATGGTTTATGAAGAAATATATTATAACTAATTATAACTTCATTAAAAATCTTTTGCTTAACTATAATTTATAAATTATATCTTAAGTTTTAATGTTTTATTGGATGGGAAAAACCCAACTCTCCTATCCAACCATAAAACATGCATTGACACAACTTCTATGTGAAAATATAATTAATAATTATTATTTACTATTCCAAAAATTATAAAAAACAAATAAACATTATATAATATATTCAAAATAGTTATTAAAAAAGAAATTTCAATTGCTTTGTGGTTACGATATATCATCCATAGAATTATAATATATTCAATCATTGTGATCAAATAATAAAATATAATTAATTAATTATTTATTTTTAATTCTAAAAATAAAAAAATAAAAAAATAATTATTAAAGAAGAAATTTCAATTGGTTTATGGCTATGATAGGTCATCCATAGAATTTATAATTATTCAATTTTTATGATTAAATGATAAAATATAATTAATTGTTATATATTTTTTAATCCTAAAAATATAAAAAATCAAAAAAAAATATTAAAGAATAAATTTCAATTGATCTATGGATACGATAGATAAATCCATAGATCTAAAACATATTTAGTCTTTATAGGTAGAGAAAAAATTACATTTTCAATTTTTTTGTTAATTTATATTTTCACCAAATATTTTCATGAAATTTCCATAAATCTATTGATAACACAAAAAAATTATGATTTTGAATGTAAGAAATGTAGATCAACGTAAATTTAAACTTCCAAGAAAAAAAGAAATCACAATATATTATTAAAAATTGAAAAATTTACCTATTTTTGTCATATGTTTTCAAAATTTGAAAATTTTTTAAAAAAATTAACGATTCACATTTGTTTCTTGCAAACTTTTGAAAATCTAGCACTCTAGGAATGAAGTTTGGAGTTTTAGAGTCAGTTAGTGGTGAAAGAAGGCTTATTTCGGGGAAAAGAATCTTGCTTCCCCCTTATTTTTTTTTTTTTAGTTTTTGACCGTATCTTTTTTTTATTGATACACTACCAGTATGCCCTGATACACCTCCGATATGCCCCCGGTATAGGTTCGACACGCATAAAAAATGATGAAACATTCAATTTCCATGCGTATCTCATATCTATTTTTTAAAGATACGATACGATACGTCCCATATCGAACGTATTGTATCGAATTTTTAAACCTTGCAAGGGACCAAGGCAAGTTATTTATGCTCATACATAAACCATATAGGGCTTCATGTGCCAACCAATTGGAAACTTGATTAGCCTCCCAACAAGCATGCTGATAGTGATAGCTAATACCACGATCCAGCAAAACGTTTATCCACAGGTTCTCTTCAATGACATTCTTCATCAATGTTCAAGGTGGGTCCAACATCTTTCATAAACTTAATGATAATCTTCAACCACCAAGGTGGGCTCATCTTTGTAAACAGTCAATGACAAACTTGGAATCTTCTTCAATAATGATGAGGTTTTCTTTAAAGTTGAGAACAAGATTATGAGCCTTCTAAAGGAGTCTAGGTTTTTGCCAATTGATAAAAACCCAATACTATAAGCTTATCTAATATATATTTACTATTAACAAAGTGGGTGTATGCATTCTCCTTGCACTTGGGTTTTTTAGATTTTGAGGGAGAGGGGGGAAGAGGAACTTTTTTTATGTGAAAATCAAGAAAAATTTATTTTCTTGGGGTACATGGGTAAATAATTTTTCCAATTGGGGTAAAATTGTCAAATACCAATTATTGGATGGGATAAAAATTTCCTTTTTAATAATAAATTTTTATTTACCTTAAATATAAAACAACATGAATAAATAATTTACCGAAAAGTGAACAAGACCAATTGGTATCTGCACATAACAAAGGTATGGAGTGTGAAAATCGTTCCGGCCCCTTGGTTTTATGGTCTCTGCACATGGGTATCACATGGAACTTATGAGATTGTCCTTCTTAATGTTATTATGTCCGCATATGGGATGTTTCTCGAGTGAGTGAAGTGACTCTAGATCACCGGCCCATAAGAACTCTGCCCATGTCTACCCACAACACACTATTTTCGTGAATTGAAAACATCTCCCCCTGCATAATACCATATAGAAAGATGAGATGTTCTCCATATGTGATTGCGATATTATGTGGATAGATGTGGGCAAAGTTTGTATGAACAGGAAATCCGGACTCAAGTGAAATACCCCTATTATTTTCTCTCCCGTGTCCCTGGAACTCTACCCTCTACCCTCTATCAGTTTTGAGGTTCTTTTTCGAGGCGATGGTGAGGATATACCAAAGACAGCTTCACATCGTCAAAGGTGTGTTGAAGGTTGTTCTCATGAACTGTTTTTTTTTTGGATATATTGCTTTATTTATTTGTAATTGTTAGCCCTAATCTATTTCTTTTGGGTTTATTGATAATTTGTCTTTTTATTTTTATTTTTTATTTTTTTTACCCGAGTGATGGAAAGAGTGGGAGTTAGGGACGTGATTCTTACATATCCATGGGGCCTAACTAGCAGATCTTAACTTAATGTGGAAGTTGGTTATGCCGTCCAGATAATTTCTAGGCCAGCATAATAAAAATTTAGGCCCAAACCCGAAAATTTATAGGATAGAGTGGGTTGGAAATGATCACCCATGTAGTTGGCTCAAATTTTTAAATGGGGTTATGCTCTCTTTCTTTTTGTCCAATAATTAACTCTTGGGATAGAGTGGGCAATTGTTATTTTTGGCCATTTATCTTGAACCCAATTATATTGGATGATGATTTGTGGGCCTGACTGGGGCCTATCTCTTCAATAAGAGTCTACCCCCCCAAAAAAAAATGCTTGAATCTCTGTATACAGTTGTGAAAAAAAAATCGCACTTATAGAAGATAGAGGTAGTAAGATTATTCAATTAATTAATGTTGAATTTTAATTTCATTAGAGATTAAATTTAATGGGTTTGATTGGTCAATTATATGAGAAATTACATCTGTATACTTGTTTTGGAAAATAGCTTTTCTCTTACAAAAATCAATTTTGAACTTGTCCTACATTAGAAAATTATAAATTTTGTTTTGAGTATTTTAATAGAAGCTGATTTACACTTCTTAGATAAAGAGATGAGAGTATGGTGACTTGCTATTGCGTAACATGTGCATACGCATGTGTGCAATGCAATTAACTATGCTCACAGCTGCGTGGCTTGCGAAGGACAAATTTGGTTTTGATGCAATTTGACCGTTGATCTCATGATTCGAATGTGATCAAGTGACCCCATTTCCCAACAATTAATAACTTCTAGAGAATTAGATTTAAAAGCCACTGAATTGTATCCCAATTCAGCTTTAGTGATCCGATCAGGTTCATTTCAAGCTTGAAGAAATGTCAGTTTGGGAAGAGTATAAATACAAATCTGTAGAGTCATATTTTTACTGTGCATATTTATATTTGTAATTGGGAAGAAGGCAAATAGAATGCATTCTGATCATGTAAATGCAAAGTTAGTTTAATTTTTCATTGATAAATTTATTTTCTTGCTAAACCATTTTTAGTTGTAAATTGTAACAGGTGCAAACGCAAATCCCGAGATTAGGCCTTTTTAATATCGATCAGTTGTGACCTGTGACCGTGAGTATAAAAGATTTGAGTGCAAAAATTTGCATCCATTTTTTATGTAAATTTTGCTTTCATTTTAAATGCAAACATGTATTTTTCTGTCACAACAAATGCATTCTCGCTAAACACTGTCAAAACAGCAGAGTGCATATATATATATAGAGTTATAAACTAAACCAGCATTTGCACTCTTCGCAAATCGAGCCTTAACTCTCCAATTTGACCCATAACATGTCTGGGTCTGGACTCTGGACGAAAACTGAGGCATCACGATTAGGGTACTTTGGTAATATCATCTTTTAATTATTGAAGAAGGTGCGAAATATCTAACTATCTGAGAGAAAGAAGCTTTAGCCATCATTTGGAAGCTCGAGAATTGGGAGAGAGAGAGAGTGTGTGTTCGAGTTCAATGGTAAACTTCGCCCAAAGGATTTTAGGTCCAACTCTTGGGTTAGCCCCTTGCTCTTCTTCCCGTTCTCATAGTTTGGGAAGAACAAGGCTCAGAAATTTCCCCTGTGCCGTATCTTCAACATCGTCGTCATCGCCCATGGATCGGCAGAACAGACGGCAGGGGTTTATGGAGTTCCCGCACCTCTCAGCCCCGCACAGAGATCTAATGATAGAGCTGGTGTCAACCATGGAAACCAGGCTTGGGTCGCAACTCCTGCCCGATCCCCTACCCCTAGACGTCCAGTGCTATCAGAACGCCGCCGGAACTTCTCAGGGTGCGCTTCACATTAGACCCGGTGACGACACCTCTTCCGTAAGTCCTCTGTTTTCTCGTTGCCTTTTCGTTTTCTGTTGTGGGACACGTATCATTTTGGATAATGTTTTAGATTATGTTATCTGATGTCAATGTATCTAAATTCTAAAATCGTTGGATTCGAATATCTATTAATTCTTGATTTTTTAGGGTAACTTACAAAACACGCGTGCTGTAACCAGGGGGTCATGACACTTTAGCCCCCGAATCTGTTTTGTGATCAAGGCCATGTTTGGGAGTTTGGGAGCGTTTAAAAGTAAATGTTAATTTGGGTCATTAAACATTTATTGGTATTTGAGAAATAAGTCTGAAATAAGTGTTTATTTTAAAAATAAGGACTTATTTTTTAATTCTAAGTTTTTAGTTTTTTTTATGTGTTTATACAATAAGTACTTATTCAATTTTTTTTTCTTTTAAAATTATCTCTAGTTGAATTTTATAAAAATATTTTTTATAAAAGTGCTTTCATAAAAATACTTTCATAGAAGTGCTTTCACAAAGTACCTTAGTGCTTTCATAAAAGTGTTTTTAGAAAAGTAATTTAATAAAAGTACTTCTATAAGGGTATATTTAAAAAATTTGAAAAAAATGAAGGACAAAATAGTCACAAATGTTTATTTAAGTGCTTATTGGAGAAAAAGACTATCAAACGCTCAATAGGAAATAAATGCTTATTTTTTAAAATAAGCACTTGAAAAAGTTAGGTGCCAAATGCAACTAAGTGTTTATTTGAAACATGGCCTAAGATCCACTCTATATTTCTAGATTCTTACACTTTCCCCCTATCAATTAATAGGGTTAATGGTGAACCAGAACCTATCCTGTGGAGAGAGGTTTCATCGTTTCAGAGTCTATTAGTGGAATTTATTCTATCTCTCCAAAAAATAGAAAATATTCTTTAGAAACTTGATTCTAAATAATAATAACAATATGGTTCAAAATTTATGATTATAATTTAAATTTTGTAAATATTACCTTTTACATTTGTATTGTGCATATTCAAATATTAAATCAAAGAAAAAAAAATCAAATTACTTAAGTCATTCAATGGTTAAGTGAGTGCTTGGGTTCAAATCTTTACATCCGCAAAGTGTTTTTGAATTTATTTCAAAGCAAGTTTGATTCCACTAAGGCCAGTTGTCTGGGGTTGATTTCAAGAATTTTGGAACTATACCATACGTAGTAATAGATTAGGTAAGGCTGATTCAAGGTCTCTTCAAGGCTAGTTTCATTTGGTTCTGGGTAGAATCTACCTATTTACTCACCCCTAATTCTATGAGTTAACCATAACAATGATGAGAATTATGAAAATACCTCCATTGTGAAGCATAGTGTTTGTAGATCAAATGCTTGTTTAAGGTGTTGAACATGAACTACTTGTTCAGCAGCACTTCCACAAAGACCGTGAGTCATTATCAACCTTTGTTGAGACTTGAGAGAAACATGTTACATAAAAACTAATTTAAAAAGGGAAAAGTACGGACAGGCCCATTCCAGCCCCCCATAGTCTATTAGTAGCGCCCCCCCCTCCCCTATAAACCGCATCCTACCCATGAATTTGGCATCAATCCATGGTCAGGATTCATCCCCCTGTACAGTGGGGCTAAAGAATTCTGAGCAGTGCTGATCAGTCATTCTCCCTTAAAAATTACATAGGAGTAGTTTGGGATTTTAAAAATGTATAAACCTGCACATGACAATCACATAACTACCAGAATTAAACCTAGCAAAAAGTTGACCCAACTTACTAACCCAAGTTTAGGTCCCCTATCTAATGACCCAAAGTACAAGGAGGTCTCACCCAATCCAAAGAGGATTTGGGTTGGATCAGGTCAAACTGTTTAATTGGATGGTTAAACTTGTATTTTTGGTAAAAACCGTTGTATTGGTCTAAGACTAGCTGATCTCAATAGTTGAACTATTGGCCTGCTTGATTTGTGGATTAACCCTAACCTGAATATTTAGGGTCAGGGTCTAGCCTTGTTGCCTATTACCAAACAATTTGCCAACATGTATGGGTTTGTTTTTCAAAGCAGAAACATTGCCATATCAAGAAAGTTAATTGTTTTTTATTGATGCGTAGTAGTTGCTTTAGTTTTGAAAAACAAAATCATATGTATTGATAAACACCCCATTAGTCTTCCATGTCAGTTTGTTCTCTCTCTTTCTGATATTGCTTGCCAATCTGCTTAGAACTTTTTTTTTTTTTTGAGTTAAAAAAAATCAAACATAGGGCTATTTAGACTCACCTAAAACTAATTTAGTTTCAATTTTATTAGAAAACTGAGTGCAATCACTCCACTAGAACATGGACATCTTTTAAGACCAGCCCATAATCACACGCGCCTCTTCTAGTATCCTAAAAAGTAGAAACACGGTTTTAGGTTGTGTTTGTAACTTCGTTTATATTTTAATTCCACCCAATTATGCTATAAAACTTGTGTTATTGCCATTTATTCGTATGGGGTTCTCTTAAACTTTTATTTTTAAAATATTGATTCATTGGAGTTGAAGATCACATTGGGTTAAGGCCAGGATTGTGGTATATATACATTGGTTTGAGTTAGGGTTGAACTCAAGGCTCAGTTTGAGAAGAGTATAGATATAAATATGTACAGGGCAAATACAGACTTTGCACTGTACATATTTATATTTTGTATTTGTACTCTTCTCAAACTGAGTCCAAGCCCCAAGGTTCAAAACATGGTAACATATGCGATTACATATCAGTTTTCAAATCTATGGAAATGCAAAATACTGAGAATGAGGACTGTTAAATTGATTTAGATGGAAATCAGGTTGACAGGGATGGGGATGGAGACGGGAATGGGGATTTTTGTTAGCGGGGACGAGAATGGGGATTTTCGCGGGAACGGGGATAGGGAGAGGCTCCCCAATCCCATCACCCCACTCCGTTGCCATTCCTACTAGCTATACTGCACACTTGCCCCCATAATGGCAGGCCAGGCGGCCACGGATGCATTGGTCGTATGACATTAATTTTGAACATGTTTACCATGTAAACAGATTGAATTCATATTGGGAAGTTGGATATATTGTGAGCTGCCATCGGGAGGAGCCTTGAACATAACAACTCTCATGGCCTACCTCAACAAGTCGACTGACGCACCAAACTTCGTGCTGGAGTTCGTGCAGATGAGTCCCACATCGATGGTCCTCATCCTTGACTTGCCTCCCCGGAAGGACCTACCCCTCTACCCGGATTATCTTGACACCTTCTACGTGGACACCAAGCTCGATGGCTGTAGGCAGGCGCTGCAGAAGCTACCGGAGGTCCAGCCTTACTTCTCGCCCGTGCTATACGTCCGCTGTGTCTGGTCTCCCACGGCCACTGTGGTTCACATACAATGTGAGCAGGGACAAGAGTCGGACCAAGCTCGAATGGAAGAGATCGTGCGGGATCATGTCAGCCCCATTGCCAAGCAAGTTTTGGGAATCTGGTTGGACAAATGTGCATGTGGAGAAGGGAGAGAAGTGAAGGAATCGGAAAGGTCTGAGCTGGAAAGGAGGGACCGTGTGATTAGAACAAAGACAATTGAGATCGACCTGGTCTCCAATTTGCCCAGATTGTTTGGTCCCGATGTGGGAAGCCGGATCGTCAATGCTATACAAGAGTTTCTAAACAAATGATCTCCCTCCCTTGTACTTGCTGCGCTTATAGTATATATTCATTTCTGTTTGGCGACTTAATACAATCTGGGGGGTACCCTGTAATTTGGGCTAGTGAGTAGTGACACTTAAGGCCTCAACTTTCAACTGTAATATTTTAATATCTGAACTTCGAGAAATATATACTCAAGTTCAGCTATTAACACTCCATCAGTTATCTTGAAGCATACAATGTTATATGTGCCTCTCAAACATTTTAAAATCTGGAACATACCCTCTTCTTCAACCTCTCGTCTAAGTTCGAACCAAGCAATTGTAGTTGATTGAGTTTCCATTCTCTCTTTCTTCTTCTTAGAAAATTTGTTAACCATACGGAACATAGTGGCAATGCTTGTCCTATTTCTAGCATTAATTCCTGCGCTGTTGTTTCTCTTTTGTCCCTTTGCTGCGTCTTACAATGTCCCCGGTGAAATGGTGTTGGTGGTGCTAGAAAACCCCGTATCTTGGTGATTGCAAGTCTTTCCTAGAAGATCATGATCCTAACCCTTCTTTACCCAACAGAAATTCCGAATATGGTGTTGCAAGATGTTTATGTTAGGTTTTAATATCTGTTAAGTGGGTTTACATATTCAGTGAAACAATTGCATTGATGGGCTATTTTGTAAGTGGGTTAAATCAAGTGATTCATTTATGCAAAGCCCGTAGACTTCAACAAGAAGGTATGGGGCTTAATGAGTGGATACCACATTTTGGCCCATATAGGCTTAATGGGATCCTATTAGGTCAAATATAAAGGCTCTTAGGTTATGGTTCCCAATATGTTAAATCATTCAGCCGCTAGAGTCAAAGAGTTGAGAAAATCTAAGAAAGAATGAAGGATTTAACTGAGGAAAACCACACCTGTCGACCAAAAGGCATTGGTTCATCACTCATTCCGCAAAGGTTCGAATGCTGCGATGGATACAGGTATTTACATTGAAATCTCCTTGATAACTGTAGCATGATGTATCTTGGGTGCAACGTGTCTTCTTGTTCTTCGTATATTGTTTGGTATTGGTATGTTTCTACAAGATTATGATTCAACAAGTTTAGTATTGGTATGTTACAACAAGTGGTATCAGAGCCATATATCATGTTGGGTTATTAGGATTATTCTCTTTTCTATCAGAAATGAAATTTATGTTTGTGATTGCGTCTCGTTTGAGGTTGCACAGTCGTTCGGCTGTATGTTTGCCGAACAACCTTGAAGCAAGGCTGTTTTGTACAAAAAAAAAAAACACATTATAATGATTTAATGCGGTTTCAGTACAAAAAAAAAATTAATATATTTGTATATATTTATATAAAAATGCATCAGTGGCTCGATGCGTCTCCAGAACCCAAAAAATAAAAATAAAAACGCATCAACGACACGATGTGCCTATAGAACCAAAAAAAAAAAATTTTGGGTTGTGATGTACTTGTACGTAAGCAATTTACGTGCGCCAGTTTTGCATGGGACCTTCAACTGTTTTGACTTTGTCATGCATGCGATGCTAAGTTTTTTTTTTTTTTTTTTTTTATTTATTCAGTTTTTGGATGGATACACTTTTTCAAATTAAGTTGATTGAAGCAGCATGTTACCAAAGTAGCCTCTGCAGTGTAAAATTATTTTGATTTGAAATATAAAGATTTTGTGTGTTCGTTGTTGATGTAACCGTTCTTGGTCACATACCAATTTTTGTGATGTACCAATTTTTTTTGGCTAAGTACCTCGTTATTTGACCTGGTGGTGAAGTGCCTTGGTGATGAACTGCATGGTGGTGAGCTGCCTAGTGGCGAGCTACCTGGTGGCGAGCTACCTAGTGCCGAGCTACCTAGTGGCGAGTTGCCTGTAAGGTGGCGAGCTGCTTGGTGACAAGCTCCCTAGTGACGAGCTCCCTGGTGGTGAGCTACCTGGTGACGAGCTCATTGGTGGAGAGCTACTTGGCTTCCCTTTGCATGAGGTGATTTCCTCTCCTTTGCCGGTGGCAGGAGCTGAGGGACCTGTGAGAATTGAATCAGAGGACCCGGGGGTATTTTCCCGACGGGGACTCTCCGATGCCTAAGTTAGCATTCTGATTGTAGGGAGCTTAGAGAGAAATGAGGGAGCTAAAGAGCAAGGATTACCTCCATTTTTTCATTCTCTCCCCCTTGTCTTTGGGGGTTAGAGTCCTTATATAGTGGTGTCCTATCAAATCAGGCATAACAGCCTCTATCAAGTCAGGCGTAACCGCTTCTGTCTCTCTGCCGCGGCCGTTACTATCAGAGCTGAGGTGGCGGGTGCAGGCGGTTGCTGTAGAGTACGGCTCTGCCAGCCAAGGGATAACTCTCAGGACTGGCAGGCACGGCGCCGCCTAGCGAGAGATGTGGGCACAGGTCTCCGGATCTGTCAGGCAGGAGATCTTCCTGCGATACGCCGAGCTGCCTGTAAGTGCTGAGCTGCCCCTAAGTGGCGAGCTCTTAGTAAGATGCTAGGCTGACTGCGGAGTGGCCAGCTGCCTATGCTGAGCTGCCCTAGCTATACCGAGTTGCCCAGTTGTCAAGAGGCTGCACTTGGTTTGCATGAGGTGCCAGGTGTCACAATTTCACTGGAGGGCCAAATCCGCCCTCATCAGTTGTCTATGCGGACATTGGTCGACCCAAAGGAAGGTTGATGTTTGGCTAGGCAGTGAACACACATGCGATGATAAATATTGATATTGTAAAGCTATTATCCATGTGAATAGTAGTCGGTCCAAAGAAAGGCTATTGTTTGACAGGATTTATTATCAATGTTTGATTGTTGCGTTGAGAGTACCATTTACAATTGATATTTCTGTGTAAATACTAAATGTCAAGTTGTGCTGGGTATCTTGCTTTTGTAATTTATATTATTGATTATATGTTGTTTTTGTTCTCTATTCAGTTTCAACAACTGCAAATAATGTTTCTGCTCAAATCAGTGCCATTCCCATGCTGAATGGTATAAACTTTAAGGTCTGGACAGAGAATGTGGAAATCGTTCTCGGCTGCATGGGTTTAGACCTTGCGTTAAGGACGGAGCGACCCATCCCGACCGAGGACAATTCCAATGAGGCCAAAGTTGAGAAATGGGATCGCTCTAATCGCATGAGTCTGATGATTATAAAACATTCCATACCGGAAGCGTTTCGGGGCTCTATTTCTGAGAGCAATAATGCTAAGGAATCCCTTGTGGCAATACGACAGTATTTCACCAAAAATGAGAAAGCGGAAACTAGCAACCTTTTAGCTACTCTAATTTCTATGAGGTACAAGGGAAAAGGAAATATAAGGTAGTACATACTGGAGATGTCGAATCTTGCTAGTAAACTAAAGGCACTAAAGTTAGAGATAAATGATGATTTGCTCGTGCATTTAGTTTCATTTCTCTTCTTGCACAATTCAGTCAATTTAAGGTGAGTTATAATACTCAAAAGGAGAAATGGACTCTTAATGAGCTCATTTCTCAATGTRTGCAAGAAGAAGAAAGRATCYAGAGAGAAAAGACGGAAAGTGCTCACTTAGCATCAACCTCTCAGAATAATAAAAAGAAAATGACTAAGGATACTGTAAATGGAACACCCCACAGAAAATGACAAAGAAGCAAGGTGATGGATTCACCTGTTTTTTTCTGCAAGAAGGGAGGACATATGAAGAAAGAGTGTTCCAAATACATTGCCTGGCGTGCAAAGAAGGGTACGTCTCTCACTTTAGTTTGTTTTGAGGCTAATTTAGTTTCTGTACCTATAGACACTTGGTGGATAGATTCTAGCGCTACTACTCACATAAGTGTATCTATGCAGGGTTGCATCTAGAGCCAACCGCCAAATGATGCTGAAAGATTCATCTATGTAGGCGATGGCAATAAAGTTCCTGTGGAAGCTATAGGACATTTTAGATTAATTTTAAAAACTGATTGTTATTTGAATTTAGTTGAGACGTTTGTAACTCCGTCATTTAAACGAAACTTAATTTCTCTTTCCCATTTGGACAAATGTGGTTACTTTTGTGGTTTTGGAAATAATAAAGTTAGTATTTCTCTAAATTCAAATGTTATTGGTACTGGTATTTTAATTGATCATCTTTATATGTTAGAAACTATTGCTTCCCATAATGAAATCCTACATGCAAGTACTAAAGGTGCAAAGCGTAAATTAACCGAGAATTCTGCTTTCTTATGGCATAAGCGCTTAGGCCACATCTCTAAACAGAGAATTTAGAGGCTTGTGTCGGACAAAATTCTTGATTCCCTTGATTTAACGGACTTCCAAGTTTGTATTGAGTGTATTAAGGGAAAATTAACGAACACAGAAAATAGGTGCCAATAGATGTACAGAAGTCTTAGAACTGATACATACGAACATCTGTGGGCCATTCCCTATGCTTGCATGGAATGGCCAGCAGTACTTCATTACGTTCATAGACGACTTATTCACTGTATGGGTACCTATATTTGATAAGTGAGAAGTTTCAATCCCTAGACGTTTTCAAGTCTTATAAAGCTGAAGTTGAACTTCAACTTGGTAAGAAAATTAAAGCCGTCAAATCTGACCATGGCGGGGAATACTATGGCAGATATGATGGATTATGAGAGCAATGTCTAGGACCCTTTGCTAACTTCCTAAAGGAATGTACAATACACTATGCCGGGTACACCCAGCATGAATGGTGTTGCTGAAAGACGAAACATGACACTTAAGGACATGGTAAGAAGCATGATTAGTCATTCTTCTTTACCTGAATCACTTTGGGGAGAAGCACTAAAAACTGCAGTGTATATCCTTAACAGAGTACCCAGCAAAGCAGTAACTAAAACCCCATATGAATTGTGGACTGGGAAAAGGCCCAACATAAGGCACCTACACATTTGGGGATGTCCAGCTGAAATGAGGCCTTATAGGCCCAACGAAAGGAAATTGGACTCTAGGACAGTTAGCTGTTACTTTGTTGGATACGCAGAACGTTCTTGAGGGTTCAAGTTCTATGATCCCACTACCCGCTCATTCTTTGAGACGGGAAATGCGAGATTTCTTGAGGATGTTGAGTTTGGAGGGGAAGAATTAAGGAATGTCTCTTTTGATGAAACAGTTGTATTGGAAGAAGAGAAATTCATTTTTCTTCTTGATATTATTATTGACAGTGATTAGACAACAATCCCTGACACTGTTCATGAAGCGATTCCGGTTCAAGACAACAATGAAGTTCCTCCCATAGAGCAAACTCAACAACCTCAAGAAATGCCATTGAGGAGATCCAACAGACAAAGGAGAAGTGTGATTCCAGATAATTATATCGTGTTCCTCCTGGAGAAAGAAGACTCTGTAGGTTTAGCGGAAGATGATCCAATCAACCTTCGCGAAGCTCTTCGAAGCTCTAACTCTCAACACTGGATCAATGCCATGCAAGAAGAAATGAAATCCATGAAAGACAATGACGTTTGGGATCTTGTCGAGTTGCCTGAAGGCTTGAAACCCATTGGTTGCAAATGGATATTTAAAACCAAAATGGATTCAAAAGGCAATGTCGAAAGATATAAGGCTCATCTAGTCGCTAAAGGTTTTACTCAAAGGGAAGGCATTGATTATAAAGAGACATTTTCTCCGTTTTCTTCGAAGGACTCCTTTAGGACAATAATGGCACTTGTAGCTCATTTTGATTTAGAGCTACATCAGATGGATGTAAAGACARCGTTTCTCAATKGAGACATTGATGAAACAATTTATATGGTTTAGCCAGAAAATTTTGAATCCAAAGATTCAAAGTCTATGGTCTGCAAATTAAAGAAATCCATCTATGGTCTCA